TACTGCTTGCAAACCAATGATGGTAAGATGATGTCATGGGGTAGGACTGGATAAGTCTGACTTCTTCCTACTCCATTCAAGCATGTACTAGGTATAAGCAAATTGATATTGGATTGTGTGTAAAAATGTGTGTTGTTATATCAACTGTTGTATATGCTTGAAAGAATAAATCAAATCAAATCAAATAGTACTCCTAGGTTTTTCACAGTATCAGTGAATGATGGGGCTGAGGTGCCTAAATTAGGTACAGAAACAGAGTCAGGACAAAAAACGATGTATTCAGTCTTTCATTTAAGTGGAGGAAATTCTGTGATAGCCAATGTTTAATATCACGGAAGCAGTTTTGCAACAGGATGAGGGCATTCGAATCACATTGGATCAGCAGCAAGTAAATCTGAACTTTGTCCACATAAAAATGAAAGTGAATATTGTGCTGCGAAATGATTGAACCAAGTGGAGACATATATAAAGAGAAGAGTAACGGGGTGAAAACTGAGCTTTGGGGGATGCCGGAAGAAAGAGGGGCTATAGTGGAGGAATAGTTGTCAATAACGACAGAAAAGGTCCTATTCATCAGGAAAGAAGTAAACCAATTTAGGACTGCGCCTCTCAGGCCGACGTAATGTTCCAGATGGGAGAGAAGAACTGCATGATCTACAGACATATATAAAGAGAAGAGTAACGGGGTGAAAACTGAGCTTTGGGGGATGCCGGAAGAAAGAGGGGCTATAGTGGAGGAATAGTTGTCAATAACGACAGAAAAGGTCCTATTCATCAGGAAAGAAGTAAACCAATTTAGGACTGCGCCTCTCAGGCCGACGTAATGTTCCAGATGGGAGAGAAGAACTGCATGATCTACAGTATCAAACGCTGCCGATAGATCAAGGAGAACTAGAATAACGGGGTGCTTGGCGTTGAGAGCCAGAGTAATATCATTATGGACCTTCAATAATGCAGCTTCAGTGCTATGACAAAGCCTAAAACCTGATTGGAATTTTTCAACAACATCCAGGCATTCCAAATGAGACTGTAGCTGCAAAAAGACAATTTTTTATAAACTCTTGGATAAAAACAGCAGAAGAGAAATTGGGCGGAAATTGGACAGAAGAGTGGGGTCAAGATTAGGCTTCTTAAGGACTACATAAATTCAGATATACAAGATGAAAATTAGATATAAATTCACTGGTATTTAAATTTCAACATCAACACTATTCAGTTGTGGTTAAAATTCACAATCAGTTATTGAGATTTTCATAGAAAGGATTACATTTATTGCATGTTTTATTTTAGTTTAGTTTAGTTTAGTTTAGTTTAGTTTAGTTTAGTTTAGCTTCCGTATTCAGGCAGGTTGTCTTATTGTTCTTGCTGTAACTGCCCATCTTTAGAGTTCTGTGCAATTGTTTTCATTAGCAGCATTACAGGGATGCTCACATTCAATGTGAGCTACAAATACCTTCTCTAAGATAAGGGTTTGTTTATAACCTGTAAACCCATTTTTAGTAAGTTTACAAATGATTTTAGTGAGTACAGCATTATCATAACTGGCAGAATTGAAGGCCAGACCTAAAACAATAAATGAACAAATAAAAGTTTTCCTTAAGCAGGGGTCCAGTAGTTAATTTTTGTACTTATGGGCATCCTAGCATGTTAACCCAGCATAATATGCCTTCCATCTACTGGACAATGTAGTGGTTTTTTTTTTTTTACACTAAACTTACTGTATATATTTTATTTTGGGACCTGTATCCATGACACGTCTCACACAGGATTGGGCTAAATATTCTATTCATTAATCAGTTACATAACAGTACATTACTCAGTTTAATCCACTGAAGTCAGGGTGTTAGGTCCTACTACTGCTACTACTACTACTAGCCTTAACATCAGGAGCAGAAGTTCCAAACTAAATAGTTACACTGGAACAAGTGGCATTTCAGACTTGCCTGGTGAATTTGTTGATGTTGGACTGATGTCATTATGCAGTACTGTATGTACATAAATCAGTACACTGGTAGGTTACATAGTCATTTAATACACAAGTCTTTGTACAGTGTAGTGTGAAAGAAAAATGTCTTATCATAGCTAATGCACCCTACTGTGTCACTATAGTTATGTTATCTGGCTTGTAGAACTAATTACAGTGTTTTCATTGTTCGACATAGCTAAGTTAACCAGTGCACATGCACTTTCATTCAGATACACCAATGAAACAATTGCACTGAAGAAAATACATCTAAGATATTATCAAAAATCTCAGGCACTTGAACCATTGTCAGTCTTGACCAGGGACACCAAAAAAAATACAACCGCAAATGACTGAGATGCAAGTTCAGATACAGTGTTTAGCACATTACAGCCAGTAACTTGTGGTGAAAATTTTACTTCAAAGATTACACGCAAAGCAGATTGTCTGGTGTTTACGGCTATGTGATGAGGGCTTTTATTAGAAGAGATGGATCTTCCCTGTAGTGGTGATAGCTGAATTGTACGTAAATCAGTTACATGGAGCTGCTTTAAAAGTCCTTGTTGAAAAGAGACATACCACTCTCTCTATCCAGATGTATGCCTGGGGTAAACTGTGGCACACATCTGGGAGAAGCCCCAACTGTGCCACCATGCCCTTTTCCTGCCATATGTGTCCCAGAGTAGAGTCACATGTGTGTATGCTGCTGGAAGAATGGAAAGTAGAGGAAGGTCGAGTCAGCTGCATAAAGTGTGTCAACAGTGTGTGGACTGCACCAAAAGTGTCTTCACTGGCCATGAGAACTTCTCTTTAAGGCAGGATTAAGCATAATATGACATAACACTGTACCAATATATGCAGAGTCAGTTACAGACACAGAGAGAGAGGGAGAGAGATGCAAAAACGTTTATATGAACTTACTTATTCCACGCTTGTCTGAGCTTCTTAGCGCTATACACTGTAAAGCGGTCTGTAATGAGAAGACAACAAAGAAACAACTAAGACCTGTCATCTTGTCATCTGTTTAATGTACATTTATCTTATCACATTAAAGTTCCACACAGCACCTTTAAACAGAACAGCTAACTGTAGCAGCCATGCCAAACCAAATTATTCAAATCATTAGTCAAATTAGACAAATGAAGGCTGCATTTATTAACTGCAAAGACACATATCTTATGACACTGTCAAGAGTGTACAATTTTCAAATGGCATCAGGGCCTATATTTACCTCAGTTACAGAGAAAACCATGCATTTATTTGAGACAGGATTGCTAAGAGGCTAAATTTCTGTTTTATGAGCATCATATTTTAGTAATAAGCTTCCCTGGTTTCTAGTCTACTTCTGTTTTCATTTATTGTTAATGTAAATTTCAGTCTGTTCAGTTTGCTAACTATATTCTCTTCATTCCCTTTAGCCATTTTGTTCTAATCACTGACAGTGGATTAACCACTGTCAATAAATGTCAGTTCAAATTTCTCACATTAAAAGCTTTACAGCGGTCTGGCATATCCCTTCCATTGTTCTAGGACTTTTAAATCCGTAGGAAGTATTTGACTGACAGTAACATAAAATCACTAGAAAACAGTAAAGGTATAATAGAAAAATGAGCAGTACTACTGAAAACTAAAACTGTCTGTTAAATATGTCATAAAGCTATCGCACTGATGGACTTAGCTCTTTGAAAACATATGAGTCCATACTGTACAGGTAATTCTCCTGCTCCTCAGACTTTCTACCAAAGTCTCTACTACTGTAGCACTTGGCTTTTATTTGTTTGTGCTGGCCACTACTGGAGAATGTTTTGGCACTTTATCATTTGATTACTGCTTTTATTTTAACATTTATGGTACAACTCATAAAATGGGAACTTCTTGGAAGGACTTGGACTTACTCTACAAAAAAAGTCTACCTCATCCCCACTTGTACCAAAGATCAGTGTGATCTCAACCACATTCGTTTTTAATATCAATATAAGTATAATCTGTTCAAAACTTCCTCTTTTTCTTAACTATAATCAGACAGTCTCACAAAATGGCTAAGGCAAAACTAAAACTAGGGAGGAAAGGTTAGCTATTTTTGGTGAAAATCGAAATAAATAAATAATAAAAGCAGACCTGTTCCTCAAGTAAAATAAAAATGTGGAGTTTCATCAAACAGCAGGTATTTTAACAGGTGTAACTTATAACATTAATGGTGTGCTGTTCCATTTAAAAAGCCAAGTAAGTAACACCAGTGTGCTGGATCATTTTAAAGGAGTGCGGCGTATTTAATACAAGTGACAACATCAGTGTCCATGCAGATTCGCAGTCATCCAGGTCATAGTAAGCTGAAAAATGTAGAAAAAAATCAACTGGACTTGGTTTTAGGTAGAAGATGTTTCGCCTCTCATCCAAGAGGCTTCATCAGTTCTGTCTGACTGGTGTTGAGCAGGAGATAGTTATCCCCCTGGGTGGTGTCTGCCCAAATCTCTGCCCAAATATTCCCACCCTAAAGATGTCACACCAGGACAGTAGGTGTCGGTCCACATATGAGGGTTCAAAGACAGGTAACAACGCTCACCGATACCGGGCTATAATGGCTCGGTCATTAGGGGACATTGTTGGCTACCAAAGACTAGAACCACAACATATCAGTCGTTAGAAGACATTGTTGGCCGTCAAAGGACTGGAACACCACCCAGGGGGATAAATATCTCCTGCTCACCACCAGTTGGACTGAACTGATGAAGCCGCTTGGCTGAGAAGTGAAACGTCTTCTACCTAAAACCAAGTCCAGTTGATTTTTTTCTAAGTTTTTTCAGACAACGTCAGTGGTTTTCCTGATTTGACATAATAAAATGTCTTCTGTGATCAACATCTATTCTTGCCTGTGCTTACTGCAGTTATTTCTAAAAATGGCAATGAGGTAGACAACTGAAATATTTGAAATTGTATTGCAGTCAGTATTGCTTTGTGTATTAGCTTTCCAAATTGATGAGAGGCTGATAGAAATTCAGATATGCTCTTCAGTCGTACTGTATGAGCTATGCACTTCTGCTGCAGAGCCTGACCACATTAAATTGTCATATTTTTTTAGAGGATTTTGATGGTGAAACAGTCTCCATATTTCCACAGCTATGTTTGTTATGCCGTGAGTGTATGAGGGTCATTGTTTCAGCCAAAAGTGGCATGTGGGCACACAGTCAGGTGGAGCTGCCAGTTGACAGGCTACCACACAAGCTAGCCAGCCAACCAGCAAGCTGGTCCATCTCCCACACTGCCAGCCTAATCCTACTAGCCAACCGCCCAAGGGTCAGTCAGCGTCAGCCTTCAGTCTGCCTTCTAATCAACAGTGGACTCTTGTCACCCAGTTCGGTGCAGAGCTGGCCAGAACTGACTGCAGCTCTCTGGGTGACAGAGGTGAAGGCTGCCAGCCGCAGTACCCACAAACAGACAGAGGGAAGGATGTGGAGGTTACACTGAAACACCATTTTCAAGCTTTTTTTTTCATATTGTCTTTAATGCTCTCACTTTAAAAACCAATACAAATGTAGTGATACAAGAATTTCCTGTATTTAAGACCATTAATACAATACAATTTAATATTAACAATTTAAAGTTGTTTAAATAAATGTTTTAAGTGCTTAGAGAAAAATATGTACCTTTCCCGTCCACATCCAACGACTGCTAAGATTTTCACATTTAAATACTTAGAAATACTTGCTTCGTTTTACTCATATGGAACACCTGACTGGAGAACTGAACATCAAAACTGGCTTTATGCAAAGAAACTAATTGTGTTGCTATTCTGCTAGTCTGTAAACCTACAGCTGTGTCTGTGATGTACAATGATATACATTCCTCTTTAGACCTCATTGCCATTGTTTACCACAGTGAACTGCATATTATTACATGAGATTAAAACATGACCGCCCTCTTTAATCAACAGTACATGATTTATCTACATATAAGGCTAGATAGGAAAACTGCACCATGAGGCTGTATGATAATTGTTTCCCACATTTCCATCCATTCATTAATTATCTACACCACTTATTCCTGAATAGGGTTGTGGGGGGCTGGAGCACATTTCACCCTTTTTAAATACAGATTTGCTGTAAAAATGTATTGTCCAAAAGTCTTAGGCCACCATTAGATTTGTTGTTCTAGCAATGTTATGGTTATTATATATATTTAGTTCTCAGTCCCTTCATCAGAATACAACTAGAAAATATAGAAATATGCACACAGTATTAAAAAACACAAAAATGAAAAAAATCAGCAAACAAACTGGATACTCAAGCAGTAGCATTCAAGCATTTTTAAAGAAATATTACTGAAAGACCAAAAATGAGATAAGATAAAATTTAAAAAACTGTCAAAATCTGATGAGAGGTTTCTCAGTTTCTTCTTTGAGAGACCAGAGGAAATCCAGTAAGGAGCTGGCTGAGCATCTGACAGCTTCATGTGGGTGCCAAGTTGATCTTTCCACAGTTCGATAGAAGCTTATCAGGAACGGGCTTTGTGGAAGGACAACAAGCTAAGAAACCACTTTTTCAGAAGGGGGACAGGTAAAAAGGCTGAGATATGCAAAAGCTCACAAAGATTGAAGATCAGTGGAAAAGAGTCTTATGGAGTGATGAGTCAAGTTTTGAAATGTTCTGGTCAAATCGTTGACAGGAGATGCTGACAGCCTTCAGTCAACCATGCTGGAGGGTCATGGTTTCAAGACCCCAACAGTCTCCCCAAAAGAATTCAAGTTGTGTTAAGTGCAATGGGAGGTCACACTAAATAATGACTTTGGATTGTAGAAGCCAGTTTGTTCTGAAAATGTTGTTTTTTAATATTGTGTACATATTTCCTGTGTTATCTGTCATATTTTAACATAGAAACTGAGAAAAAGCTAGACAAATGCATTTCCTGAAGAAAATGCATGTGAATGCTGAAGAATTGCCCTTCATGCAAAGCTGAAGTTACAATTGGTAAATGGTCTTATATTTGTATAGCGCCTTTCTATGCTTTACAGCACACTCAAAGCACTTTCACACTATTTGGCCATTCACCCATTCGCACTCCCAAACACTCACACATTCACACACCTGTGACATCACCGGGAGCAACTAGGGGTTCAGTGTCTTGCTCAAGGACACTTCGACATGTTGACTGGACAAGCCGGGAATCGAACCTCTAATCCGCCGGTTAGGAAACGACCCGCTCTACCTCCTGAGCCACAGCCATAATTGAGGGCTTTTATTTTGAAAATCACTCATTCACACCAAGTTATAATCTGGGGGTCTTATAATCAATAACCATCATCATTCAGTTGCATTGTAACCTACTGACACTAACTTTCTACCACAAGCACATTTCAGCCTCTGCTGCTGTGACTGACCAGAGACATCCGACTGATGTCCCCCTCTCTAGCTCTCTCCATTCAAATGAATGCAGAGGCTGAGAAATGTCCAAAATCAGCATACCATGTAAACTGCCATGAAACTCTCCTGACTTGTTTAAAGTTTGAATGGTGTCTGTATCTGAATGTATGCTGAACAGGTTAGCCCTGAAAGAGTGGGAAGCTGAAGATGATTTGAAGATTCTCTTCATTCATTTCAATGGAAAAAATGTATTGAAAAAAGCCAAATATTTTAAAAAGTATGATGTTTAGAAAAATTCTGAATAGAATCAGGAATGTCATTAAATAGGTGAACATGTTTGATGTTTGAATGGTTTTTGTAGGTGAAAGTATGCAGGAGGAGCTAGGTGCCAAAAAACAGACAGAAGAAATCAAAATAATAAAGAAGAGGAAAACAATAGTGTGAATGCTGCTAACTCAGCATTCACACTAATTATAAATAATCATTACAACCTTGCTAAAACAACTAATGGTGGCCTATGATTTTTGCACAGTACTGTATATTATAGGCAGACTCTTTATACTGCATAACTGGCTGGATACTCCTCTGTCTTCTGTTCACTTGCAAAACAAAACCATGAAATGTAAATGATCAAAGGAAACTCAGCTCCGTGTTTCAGCAAATAGTGGTGATGAAGATTCAGTTTATAAAAAAGATTGGTCTAGGTGGGAATGCAGTGTAAAAGCCTAACCTACAGTGACATATCAGAAAGACAGTAGAGTGGAGGGAGAGCTAAAACGAGATGTGACTAGAAGTGAAGAAATATCTCTGGAGCCTTGTTAGAACCACAAAAATGTGAAACATCGGCAGTGCCTCAACTCTTGAGGTCAAGCCACACTGTCATGTCTGAGATCCAAACTGAAGTGATGTTTTGCAAAGGAAGGGATGGAAAAAATAACGGAAAGTGTTATGCATGTAAACGTAATGGTGAAATGTAGCAAATCATAACCAGAAGAGAGACAGTCACCATGTTCTGGAAACATAAAGTACAGTAAGCGGATAAGAGAACAGAGGAGCTCAGTGCTGCTGTGGAAACCTGTCCACAGTCACAGTGAGGTTTCCAGACTGGTGCAACACTGCCATCTGCTGCTTACTGTGGTCTCTGTAATGTGTTGGATTTAAATGTCTGTCAACCCCTGCCAAGGTAACTTTGACTTATTTTTCAGACAATTAAGATATTGGATATTGCACAGAGGTAATTCCTGATTAGTAATAAATAAACTTTTTTATCAGCCAATATGTCTCAAAGTCAAAAATTATTTCAGCATACAGAGGAAAACATTCACCCACTGAATTCCTCTAATTAATATTCGTGTCAATTTCTTAACATCTTTACCTTTCCTATTACTAACTGTAGTTCTGTTAGAGGGATCGAACAGAGGTTCATCTGTGCATTTTGTTCACATGCACATGTGATGTATAGTATGGTGTGGCTGCACAGGAAACATAACTATTTACTAGTAAACAGTCTTGAATCTTGCAAAGTGTTATATAAAAAAAATAATTAAAAAATCTGAGCCTCTCTAAACATTTATGTTTGAGGACATGTAGTGCAACATCCATGGAACTGGTGCCAAAAGAAATATAGTGTACTGCAGAGTAAAAAAAGACAATAAAAAATAAAAATGAAGGCTTAGTAAAATACTTTATGTAAAGAACAAAAAACAAACAAAAAAGACTGCTGTTTCAAGACTTGTTTAAATTTGTTTTAAATTAACACAATTAAATCTTGTTTGAAGTTGGCCATTCATACAGATTTTAATCGCTTTACGTTCACCTAATTTTAGGTTCAGATAATTTTCCCTTTTTTTAATAAACCTCATTTTCTCTGTGTGATTATAACCATTCACAATGTCTGATGATTATATCATTCTTGTTTACTGTACACTGAGGCTGTATGGCACTTTATGAGCACCACCATGTGGTTGAATTTAACCAGACCGTCTCTGGTGACATCTCATTCTTCCTATGTTTGTTGAAAGTGCAGCCATTATAACATCAAATCTGTAGATGTCATAAAGCAGATGCAATACTTGGAGGCTAGCGCCAGGCAAAGCTGCCCGTGTGTGTGGCTCAGACAGCTGCACAGCTGTTCAACATAATGTGTGAGAGGCTAACAAGAACCAACTGTAACCATGTCCACAGGATGAGAGATTACATTTGTATGTGTTGTGTGCGTACATCCATGAGAGTCACCCTAATTGGCCACTGGAGATAGCTGGCTGGGCCACAGAGCTTTCAGATGCCCCAATGCCCCACACCATTTCTCTAACTATCTTCATGTCCATTCTCGCCTGTCCCTTCTCCTCTCCAGCTCTTCTTCCCTCCATCAGCTCACACTAATCTGCAGTCTCACTATTCATGTTCCCTCTAAAAAGCTCTAATGAGCTCCCAGAGGGCACAGCTGCACTGAAAGACAATAGCTGTGCCCCCCACCACAGGCACACACACACGCACACACATACTATTGCTGCTGCTGCTGCATTAATGCAGTACAGTAAGCTTTTGATAGACTATCCCATTGTTTGATTTTATGGTCTGTAGCACTAAGTATTTAATCAAGTGACTACCAGGTACACATGCTAGCAAACATGTTGAAGCCTGGTATTATTCAACATAGCTAGCATGGAGCCTATTGCTCAGGAGTTCAGTTCATTTTAATATACATTATGACACTGGTTCCTGAGAATCTAAATATTTCTGCATGTAAAAATCCACAGAGAAAAATCTGACATATAACATATACAGTACTATTTTTCAGTCTAATTACTAATAAAATTTTGGGAACATCAACAGTATCATGATAGGATGCTGCTGGTAACCCTGCTCCATGCTTCTTTTTTTTTTATTGAAACAAAGAAACACATTAACAAAACAGTACCGAGCATGGGAGACAAGACAGCAGTTACATGACATTACAAATAGTGGATATAGTGTTTAACGAGGTTGTAGTGTGTGAAGTGTGGGTATTTTCAACTTATGCAGTCTATGAAATGCAAGAAAGGGAAAAAGAGGGGAAGTAAATAAAAAAAAATTATCAATAATAATGATGATAACAGTACTATTAAAAAATCAGCTTGTTACATTTCTAGAGGTTGGTGGGAATGTGCATGGCCTCAGCCCCAGGTATTTGATTCAAATTGAAATGTGTTAAAAATTGGTTCCATGTATCATAAAAAGCTGATAAACTATTCTTGTGAGTGGATTCCATTTTCTCTAATGTGATGTATTCTGTCAGAAGGTTGGTCCAGTGGTTTATGTGTAGTGATTTTTTGATTTCCAATTTTGAAAGATTGTTTTCTTGGCAATAGCTAGAGAAATGAGGAGTGGGTTTTTGGTCGATTTCTAGGATATTACAGAGTAAGCAAAGTGATGGAGAAGGAGGGATTCTACAGCCCAAGGTGGTGGAGAGTTTCTCTGTTACTGCTATCCAGACGGAATAAACTAGTTGGCAGGTCCAAGTAGCATGAAAGTAACTGTCGGTGCAACCTAGAGTGCATTGTGAGCAGATGTCTGTGTCAGTGAAACCCATTTTGAACATTTTACTTTCTGTAATATGGGTCCTATAAATGGTCTTGTATTGTATAAGTTGTAAGTTTACATTGCTGGTCATAGAAAAGATGTTATTGCAAATTTCTTTCCAGAAGTCGGAGTTGAGGGGGAGAGTTAAATCATTTTCCCATTTGAGTTTTGGTATTGTTATTGTTGAGTCTATATTTGATATGAGTTTATATAGCTTGGATATTATTTTCTTGGAGGACGTAATTTTCATAATTTCTTCAATTAATTGGGAAGGCTGTAGTGGGTTATTGGTTACACTAATCTTTGATTTAATTATGGATTTTAGCTGATTGTACTGGAGGAACTGTTCTCTCTGAACTCCGTACTTCTGGATCAGTGTATTAAATGATATGAACTGGTTATTTTCAAATAGGTGATGTAAGTGAGTGATTCCTTTGTGTTGCCATGCTGGGAAATAAATAGGGTTATTATGCAGTTGAAAATCAGGGTTGTACCAAATTGGAGTGTATCTACATGGTGCGAGTGATGATTTAGAAATTTTGTTTACTTTCCACAAGGCTGTCAGAGTTGAGAGGATTGTGATGTTCTTACAGTGATTCATTTTATTAGTAGAGTTGGGTAGAGGGAGGTCTGCAACCGACTTATTTAAGTTATTTTTACAGTAACCCTGCTCCATGCTAATACTTCATTATCACTCTACCATAGAGCAAGAAGTGAGAGTAGGCCCCATCTTAACCAGTTATCATAAATTTTATCTGTCATGATTCTGTCCCGCCTGTTTCTGTTCTTGTGCTTTTATCTTGACATTACTTCCTGTTTTTGTTTCACCTCAGCTTCAGACTTTTTACTTTAATCAGCAGATTGTTTGCACCTGTTTTCACCCCATGTTAGCAGCTGACTCACCAGGCAGCTGCCAGATTGTTCTTACCCATGACAGACTTTCCAGCATTACTCTTGTTTACTGTATTTCCTGTTTTTGACCTTGGATCAACTTGGACCGCTGTTCGGACTATTTTCTGTGTATGGCTTATCGGACTTCCCTTTCTGACATCTCATTTGGATACCTTGGATGTATGTGTTTGCTGGTTCTGACCCTGGACTGTATTATTGACCTGTAAGTGCGTTTCATGTTTACACCATGTCTTGTACCGTTTTTTTTGTTCATTGTCAGTGCTCTTATTAAAAAGACGCTGTTTTTACGTTCACTCGTCTGGCTTTATAATTGAGTTCACCCTCACTCCTCAGCAGCCTCCATGCTAACCCTTTAGCTTGCACTACGTTTTCCCTTGGTCTAATTATTGTACACTTTATTGAGGAATAAAGTTATTGAGGGGTTAAAACTGTAATGTGGTAATACTTTGACATAAAAGGCCTCACCTGATTTAAAGTGAGGCAGGGAATTAACACCAGGCCAGGTGTCTTCAGATGGGGTGCCGAGGACCTGAAAAAGACACACACAAATATAAATGGGGAAAGTCACCAACTGAAACAAGATAAGACTATAACCTCCACCAATTTTCGCATGTGTCAAGACCGAGTTTACCATCTTTGATGTGCATTTCTGGTTTGGTGGAAACAAACATGGGCAGAGCCAAGAATCTGATTGAGTACCCCAATTTTCACCCATGCTAGAGTCAAAATTAAATACAACTATCATTTTTCAGTTTTTTTGGTAATTGGTATTTGTCAGATTACTCTTATATCATTCATACAGTCTTTGTGTTGACTATTTGGCAGGAGTTGCCTCAGTGGGGGGAACAACTGTGCAGCAGCGATGTCAGAAGTAAACTAGGGAAATGCATTTCCTGTTGAAAATGCGTGTGGATGCTAATAAAAGCTGAAAGATCGCCCTGAAAATGCCTGAAATCAATTGCTGAAACAGCTGAAAGATGAGAAGGAATGGAATGTTCTTTGTTGAATAATCTGAAGGATGAAATGCAATAAACTAGGGATGGCCTTGAAGAGCTGAACATTTTGATACCTGAATGGCTTTTCTAGCTGAAAGTATGCTGAACTTATTAAGATGTGAAAATAGTCCAGTTGGACCCCACGAAGGAGGTAAAACAAATAGGTGTGAACGTGTGTGTGAGAGAGGGAGGGGAGGGGGAGAGAGACAGAGAGAAGAGTTATGTAGGGGCATGTCCCAATTGAGCTGCATTTTATGGACCACCAGATGGCACTCCAAGACTGTTATTGACTCAGCACTTTGAGCTCCCATTGACTTGTACTGCAAACAATAAAGCTGAATCAATTAAAAAGTATAAACGTCATAAAGAAAAATACAAGCAGGGATGTCTTTGAAGAGTTGAACACGTCGATACCTCAATGGCCTGTATAGCTGAAAGTATGCTGGACTTGTAAAGTGCCAAAAAAAGGGTGTAAGATCCCATAATAATAATAAACAAACAGGAGAGCATAGTATGGATGCTTTACAGCATCCACACAATAAGGAGCACAGCCAAAGTTAGCTAACAAAAGAATTATAAACAATTTAATCCTTACTAATTAATGGTTTATCATTTCATAAATCTAGGGGTGTAATGTGCTTTTAATATTTCAAATGTGCTATCCCTCTCTGAGTCTGTGCCTAAGCCAGGCCACCCCGCCCAATATTTTCCAGAGCCACCCTTGGAAACAAATATTACAGTAGTTGGCATGAGAAACTTGTCATGATTCTGTCCCACTTCTTTCGGTCTCATGCTTTTATTTTGGCACTACTTCCTGTCCCAGCTCACCCTGCCTCCCGGGAACTTTATCTCATCACCCACATTAGTTTCCCCTGCTTCTCATTACTTGCACCTGCTTACAACAGCATGTAGGCAGCTTCCCCACACCAAGAAGCTGCCAGATTGTTCTCCTGTTCAGACTTTACAGCATTTTACCTGTTCCTGTGATTCCAGTGCTGACGCTGGATTACTTTTTGACCACAGAGTTTTGCCTAGCCCTCTGTTTCTGCTCGTGTTTTTCTGTGTATTGACTATCGGACTCCTCTCTCTGACTCGTTTTGTGGATCCCTCGGCTGTGTAAGTTTGCTGGCTCTGACCATGGACTGTATTATCGAGCTGAGTGTTACTTGCTGAAACAGAATCCTGCTTTGTGTTATCGTTGCATTTGTTACCAGTGCTCTTATTAAAGAGACAGTGTTCTGATAAACCTCGTCTGGCCTTTATAATTGAGTTCACCCCTTGACATTATCGGCAGCTTTACATGCCGATCCTGACAAAACTAACTAGAGGGATTCAAAGATAACAAACCACTTGTTACCGATGAAGAGAAATAATGACTAGAAAACCGCACCATCACATGCTCACAGCATATTGAATTGTTTTATCATTTATATCACCTGAAATTACAGTGAGTATAGCTTATTTAACACTTGTAATATTTTGTTTTCAAATATACAACACAAAAGCCTTTATGCATTATCATATTGCTCAATATTCTTATGAATTCTAGTTAGAGCAACAAGTGTGAATCAAGTGTTTTGCAGTAGATAGTGTTGCTTAGATGCATTTCTGATTGTGTTGCAGCGTGAGAGAGCTAGAGACTCTACACCATGATTTGCTACATGACAAACTTGAGAGTGCAGCACAAAGGTGTCTCACCGCTTGTGCAACAGTCATAAGTATATCTTTCATGGAAATACTGGCTCTCACGCACACAGCCTTGGATTACAACATCAAAATCCAGGCAGCGGGCATGCCTTTTACATGATCCATCACAGCTAAGAAGCATAATAGTTTCCAGATTGCCCAGTTGTCCCAGATCCGCAGCACACACCTAGTACAACTGCTGAGGGAACTGTCTGATTTATAGTGCTGCTTTTAGACGGTGTGTGCAAACAGTGGTTGGAGGTGAGATCAGTTATTTTCAGATGACTTTTGTTTACACCACTGTTAGACAAGGGGAAAAATGCAGGTAAAATGAAAGCAGAGTAACCGGGCTGCTTTTGGATTATTCTTTTCTTAAGCCTTTGAATTCCTATGACAGTATTTCCTGTTACCATGAATTTTAACAGCTGATAAAAGACGGACATTGTCAGCGGACAGTCAGGACTGCAGAAAAGGTCACTGGTGTGAGCCTGCCCTCCATGGAGGACCTGTACACCGCACAGGTCAAAAGGAGGGTGGAGAAGATCACTGCTGACCCCTCACACCCCAGACACAACCTGTTTGAACTCCCCTCTGGACGGCATTACAGGTCACTGTGTACTAAGACAACCAGGTACAGGGACAGTTTCTTCCCCCAGGCTGTCACTCTGATGAACACTTAACCAATGACAGTATGTCTGGACAATAACCCTCAGTGCAATACCTGTGTATATATACATTGTACAGATTATACAGACTCGTACAGGTCTCTAGTTCTTAAGTACTCTGTTTTTATCCCTATTTATCTGATTTCAGTGAACATTCCCTTGTTGTCTGCATTGTTTACTGTCTGTTTATACTGCTTATTCTGCATTGTTTGTTGATGTTAATACTGCTATTTTGTTATATTACACAGCCTTATGCTGGTTTACTGTTTGCATATTGAGAGCCGATGTGCCAGAGTCAAATTCCTCGTGTGTCCGTCACACCTGGCCAATAAAGCTGATTCTGATTCTGAAGAGCACCTCTCCTGCTAACTAAAGTAGTTCACTCTCACTTGTATGTTAATCATAAATCACATAACAAAAGCATATTAGCGAATCCATTATTTAAATGTGACCAAAGGAATGTACAAAAAGTCACATGCATGTCCATACTGGCTTGTCACTGACACAAATGTTAGTCATAGTTGATGTAATAGCAAAGACCAGCACCAGAGGACAGTAAAGTACCATTCGGTCGACCCAGGTGGGACTTCGCTAGCAGCAAGCAGGATAAAGAGAGGCCCATTCACCAGCTCAGCTACTGGATTTCATTTTAAAAAGTTCAAACACTATACACTATCAGTTTAGTTTATCTTTATTTCTGAGAGTAAAGAACTTGGTGTTTCAACATGTGACAAGATGTTGGTTACAGACAAATCAAGTCAACTGCAGTAAAGGGGTCAAAAGGCTGCATTAGTTATTAAGACTGTTTTCCATTATCCAAGCTCTTGTCTACTATTGTTTTCAAAGATAACAATACAGTTGCAAAAAAAAAAAGTAATGGCACTGTTTGCAGTTTCCTGGTGTCCTGCATAAATTCGTTATGAAACGTGATCTGATCTTAACCAACGTCAGAAATGTCAAACAATATTTCTAAGGTGATGAAACTGTCAGTAATGGCAAAAGATAAGATTGAGACTGTATGGGAGATGAAACAGTGCTTACATTAACAATGTTGTGCATTGATTTAAAAAGGAATCCATACAGTATCTTGAGAAAGTATTCAAACCCCATCACTGTTTGGATGCTTCATTGTGTTGTCGATTTCATTTTAAACGGATATAATTGTGTGTGTGAGGTGGCACAGTGGTCAGCACTGTCACCTTACAGCAAGAAGGTTCTGCGCTGACCCAGGGCCTTTCTGTGTGGAGTTTGCATGTTCTCCCTGTGCCTGCGTGAGATGTCTCCGGGTACTCCGGCTTCTTCCCACAGTCCAAAGACATGCAGCTTAGGTTGACTGGCGACTCTAAATTCCCCCTAGGAGTGAGTGTGAGTGTGTGTGGTTGGTTATCTACATGTCAGCCCTGTGACAGACTGGTGACCTGTCCAGGGTGTACCCCGCCTCTCGCCCAAAGTCAGCTAAGGTTGGCTCAAGCCCCTCCTGCAAAATGGATACAATTCCTGTATTGCCCATAAATCTACAGTCTATATAATCCATAATAACAAACTGAAAAGAAATTTTGTTTGCAAAAATTTTTTTTTAGATCTAAATGTGAAATCTCTCATTTACAAAAGTATTCAGACCTTTAATCCAGGATTTCATAAAAGCCCTTTTGGCAGTAGTTCCAGCTTCCATTCTTCTTGGTTCTATCTCTCCTTCATATGGGCAGTTTGTCCCATTCTTCGTGGAAGATCCTATAACATTTTGTCAGACTGGATGAGATGTGGCTGTGAACTCCATCTTCAGGTCTCTCTGCAGACGTCCTCTGGGGTTTAAGATTGGACTTTGGCAAGGCCACTCAGGGACAAACAGAGACTGGTCTTGAAGCCACATCAGCACTGTTTTGGCTCTTTGCTTCTGGTCTCTGTCATCCTGAAAGCTAAATGTCACCTCAGTCTCAGGTCTGTGCACTCTGGAGCAGGTCTTCTTCATGGACCTCTCTGTATTTGGCTGTAGTCATCCTTCCCTGTCCCTGCTCCTGAGAAGTCCCCCATAGCATGATGCTGCCACCACCAAGCTTCACTGTAGGGACAGTCTTAGCAGGTGATAAGCAGTGCCTGGGTGTTGTTTTTAAATAAAAAAATTATGAAGTTTATTTAGCTGTAGTTATGTAGTGTATACCTTTTCTATGAGGTATACTGTACTC